TGGAAAGTGATGCAGTGGAACTTGAAAGCTTGGTTCATAAGTTGAGGAAGGGCATTGACGAATATAAAGAAAAGTATGCTAATGGAGTTAGTGGTGAGGATGCATTTCAAATCATCGAAGGGCTTAAGAATCTCATGATGAAGGATAGCATTGAGACCTATGGTTGCACCAGTTGGTGCAGGTTTTCGTTCAACCAAGCCGATTTTGGTTGGGGAAAGCCATCATGGATGAATTTCTGTCGCAATGAATCCAAGAATACAATGATACTGACGGACATGAGTGATGGCGTTGGCATAGAAGCGTTTTTCAGTTTGGAAGAAGAACACATGGCCATATTTGAACGCAATGAGTACCTGCTTGCATATGCTTCTATGAATCCGAGTGTCGTTTAATTAGTACCCTCTTATGCTTCTTAGAGGGATATGCTGTTGTGGATCATTGATGATATCTCTCATAATCGTTTAGATGTTTGCACCATATTTGTGCTTCATCGCATTTTCCCTTATTGTTTCGTTGTTTATCATATGTTGTTTTCAATTCAATAATGCTATTTAGACACATAAGACTGACCACATTAGCTGGCCACCTTTTGTGGCAGCTGACGTGGTCATGCCGTGTCAATTATAGCAGCTCAATATGATTATTCTTGAAGTAACGAGATCGTCTCCAACTTAGTCTGTTCGCTGGTTTATATGTGCTTAGCTTTTTGACGAGTTCCTTGCATGTGTGCAACGTCACTTTTCTCTTCTACTCCATGTTCAAGAATCAGGCCTTTAAATCTTCGAATTTTTTTTCGTAATTCATATGAAACTTAAGTTCATTAAGGTAACATGTGTAATTTTTATTACAATTATTTCAAATAAAGAAAAGAAAATTTAAAAATTTAAAAAAAAAATAAAAAAAAAATAATATTTCGAGAGGTTTGCACGACGCAAAGAGATCATCCACGTCGCGCAAGTTGTCCGGATATACTAGAAAAAATAATATTAAATTTATGTTTCAAAACATAGGCGACGAATGACTAATGTCATTGCGTAACACCTTATCGCGCAACGAATGTAACCCTGTACTTCGCGCAAGTTGCGATAATTTTCTAGTGAAATATATCCTTGCGCGACGATAGTACTCTCGGCATCACGCAACACATCTTTGAACGATGAAATTGTAATTTTTCGTCGCGCAAAACATATTTATAACTCACTAAGACTCATAAGTATCATAAGAAGAGTAAAAACTACAATTTCAAAAATAAAGTGTTGACTATATTTGTGATTTAACCCACAAATCATCTACATTCCAAGAGGTGTACTCAATTAAAAAATGGCTATACAGTTTAAATTAAAAATATAAGTTTAATATAATTGTCTACATAAAGGTGTACTCAATTAACTTGGATTAGGTCCGGTTATTAGGTCAAGTTACGTAAGTATCCAAGCGTAATCGAGTCACAAGTGCCCCAGAGTAGGCTTTTGGTTAGGGTTCGAGACTTGAGAATGGTGTTGGAACAAGTTTAGAAGCTAGAGTTTTTAATTTGAGACATGGATTTTGGGTTTTGGTGCTCTCTTGTTTTTTCTTTTCGTCTCCAACAATGGAGGATGGGGATGGATACATTTGATGGAGGAAGAGAGATCTAGAAACATTAAGAAGAGTAGAGAACCAACGTGAGGCTACAGACCAGCGACGCTGCTAGGTTCCTTTATATTTTTCATTTTTTCAGGTTTGAAGGATTATTGAAAAAGAGAAATAAATAAAAATAGATTTCACATGGCAATATTAATTGACATGGTATGACCATATCAATTTGGTAGGTCATCAATTGACCTTCAAATCAGTCATAATTTTCTCATTGATAAATATCATTAATTCTGACTGATTGCTTTAATTACTTTCTTAATTTTTAGGGAAAAAATAGGCGGCAACAAATTTTTAGAGGGTCTTTTTTTTTTTTAATCAAATTTTTTTAGAGGGTCGAATACATAAAAAAAAAAGTATATAAATTTATAAGTAATTAAAAAAATTAAGAGTTAATGTCCAACAAATATTCTCAACAAAGAAGGATATAATAAAAATACAAAATAAAAAACAAAAAGAAAGCCTATTGGTACCCATTTGAGCTTCTGACAAGAGATTAGTAGTAGAATATAATCTAGTTCTCAATTAAAGAACAAGTTTATGTTGTGGTACCCATAATAAAACAAATTTTAGAGGGGACCATCTTTTATTCAATGAGAAGTGACTATTATATAATTACATTGTGTAATCAAATCCTCAATTGGATATTCCAATAAGTTAGGTGGTTGTTGTTGTTTTTTATTTTATTATTATTATAGAAATTCTAGGATTACATTTATAATTCAGTCAAAAAAGTCATTAGCCAAAGGGCCAATACAAACTAGCCACAAAATGGTCATTACAATAACAAAGCAATCTATCATCAAAATTAAGACAATCTGGTTTGCCTCCACTAATGATTACGCAGGATTGAAGAAACTTTAGTATAGGCATCCCAACTAAGATTGCAAACTCAGAATTTTTTTTTTTAAAAAAAAAAAAAAAGGATAAAGCTTGAATAAACCAACCATAACAATACAAATAAAACTCTCACAAAAGGAGATGTGAAAACTGCATAGAGAACCCAAGGAATCTATGTGACTTATTTTGAACATAAAGAAGCAGCCAAAAGGATAGTGGTGGAGATTCGATACCGAAACGCAGGTGGATATTCAATGCCGAAATGCAGGTGGAGATCCGACGCTAAGACGCATCCGCCTGTGATGGTTGGAAGAAAATCATAACAAAATGAAGACAAATAGGGAAAACCTTTTGTCTTTGAAAATGAGGGAAGAAGAGGAGGAGGAAGAGAAGAGGGGAGAGGGGAAGAAGAACAGTGGCTTTCCTCCCCCCTCAAAGTGAAAACGTCTCTAGGAGAGTTTTTTAGGAGTAATAAGTTACATTTTGTTAAGAGGATGTCATATAAAATAAACTTTAATGTTCTCTTTGTCCACGTATTAATTTATTTAAGGAATGTCATGATCCATATTCACAGTTTCACAACATAAAGCACGTGTCAAAATTTATTTGTAAGACAAAAAAAAAAAAAAAAACTATTGATATATATACACACACACACATATATATATATATATATATGTATATATAGTGACTATAAATATTGTTAAACTAGCATGTACAACTAAAATAATGGTGGAAAAGTATAAACTGGGTACAAAATTGTCTTTTCGAACGACCACTAGATGCCATCACAAATAGACATCCTTTTGCGAGAGCTACTGATTGCCCTCGGCAACAAATAATCATTTCCGACGACCTCTAATTCCTGTCAAAACTCCTTCGGAAATGGTTGTGGTTTCCAACAATGTGAGGGTTGCATACAAGCATGGGATTTATTTTCCAGTAGTGCTCATAATATTCCAAAGGCTCAAGCTCAGGCTCATCATGTTCATGATGAAGATTCTAACCACAACCAGTCCCAGATGGAACAAGATTATCATACTAGAAGAGAACGTGGTCCACAATCTGCTGCTGAATAGAAGGCTTTCCACTTTTTATTTTTGTTCCTTTTTTTTTTCCTCTCTCTTGTTGTATATGCTATGAGTTGTAAATTTTCTTATTTTCTTCTTTCCTTTTTCCTCTCCTTTTGTGTATTTGAGAGATAGAGAAAGAAAGAGGCGACAATTGGAATGAAAATTTAAAAAAAGTCTTAGCGGTTGAGTCATGTGACCCCTTGACTTGAAATACAATGAGAAATGATAAAATCCTAATAATTCTTGGAATTGTTTTTTTTTTTCCCTTCACAAAGCGGTATAAAATCCCAAGGAGAGAGATTCTCTAACCTTAGAAGGTAATATAAGAACTTGTGTGTATATAATAATATAATGGATTGAGGGATGGGCCAAATTGATCCTTGTTGATCTAGCTGTGAAGTTGAGCCTTTTCTTTTTTTGGTCGAAATGAAGTTGAGCCTTTAATTAACTTTTCATAAAACAGAAAAGCCACACCATACAATAACTTATGTTACCACCAAAACAGACCACCATGCAATAATTGAATAATATATGTTGCCAAAAGTTATGCACATTAGATTATTTTAGACGAACAATTACAAACCTCAAGTGGGATTTTCTTAGAAGCTGTTTTTCTATTTATTTTTTTCCCTTATAAAGCCGGCTCGGCTCTATGACCAATTCACGAGGAGCAAAATGGTCATGGGAATCAAGGTAGAAATCATTGAGAGGCAAACAATTAAACCATCCTCCCCAACTCCTCATCACTTGAGAAGTTTTAAGCTATCCATTTTTTATTAGATGGCTATTGTAGTTTACACCCCACTCCTCTTCTATCCCATTACTAGTTCTACCAGCAAAGTCAGCACTCTGCCAAGTTATGTTCGCACGCTGATCAAATAATGGAAACTGTCTAGAGGCACTATTCTAGTAATGAACAAGTTTAGGTAAAATTTCTTTATTAGTTTCAAGTTTCAACAACAAATTAGTATGGAATTACAACCAAATATGAAGACTTGTACAACTAATCCTCCTAATCCAAATACAAATATGAAGGATCTGCATTCCTAAATAGGAAACTACTAAAACTGAACAATCAGAGCCCATCTCCAGCCCAGCAGTACTAGTTCTGCTTGCTACAAGTAGAAGAAGAGTCCTCCTCCTCCTCCTCCTGAGTCGTCGGCAGTGGTGGCGGCGGCGGTTTAATTTAATTAATACAAGGTTCTTTTGCTCCTCCTCCTCCTGAGTTGTCAGCAGTACTAGGTTTTTCATTTAGAAAACCTAATCCTACTAGGAGTAGGAGAGTAGGACTAGTTTAATTTAATTAATAATTAAATCATATTCCTACTAAGACTAGTTAGTAGCTAGCAATCCTAATCCTATCCGGACTAATAATTATTTTAAATTATACTATGAATGAAAGCGAGGCAAAACTATAAAAAGAAAAGAGCCAAGAAAGAAGGCAGAAGCTATACAATGATATACAGGGCGATTTTAGACACCTTCTATCTGACCGATGAGCAATTGCACAACTCACCGTCGAGAAAGGACGGCATAGATGAGGCCACGGAGACCATGCTCAGAATCTATGGCTGTGAGTTAATCCAAGAAAGCGGAATTTTGCTCAAATTACCTCAAGCAGTTATGGCCACTGGTCAGGTTCTGTTTCACCGATTCTATTGTAAGAAGTCGTTTGCAGGCTTCGACGTCAAGAAAGTTGCTGCTAGCTGTTTGTGGCTTGCATCAAAACTGGAGGAGGAATGCCCTAAAAAAGCCAGGCAGGTTATCATTGTTTTCCACAGGATGGAATGTAGGAGGGAGAACAAGCTAGCCATTGAGCCTTTGGACTTGAATTCAAAGAAATATTCGGACTTGAAGACGGAGTTGAGTAGAGCAGAAAGACATATTTTAAAGGAGATGGGTTTCGTTTGTCATGTTGAGCATCCTCATAAGTTTATATCAAATTATCTTGCCACTCTGGAGACACCCACACCGCGGGAATTAACACAAGAAGCCTGGAATCTAGCAAATGACAGTTTGCGTACGACATTGTGTGTGCGATTCAAGAGTGAGGTTGTTGCTTGTGGTGTAGTTTACGCTGCTGCTCGGAGGTTTCGAGTTCCCCTTCCTGAGAATCCTCCATGGTGGAAGGCATTTGATGCGGAGAAATCAGGGATTGACCAAGTTTGTAGGGTGCTGGCTCATCTGTACAGCCTTCCTAAAGCAAACTACATACCAGTCTGTAAGGATGGAGGAGATTCCTCTTTTACTAACAAGTCAAGGAATTCAATCTCTCAACCAATTCCAAAGGAAAATAGCCCATCAGCTATTGACGATAAAAGCAAGGAGAGGGAGAAGGAGAGAGACATAGACAGATACAGAAGCATGACCGAAGTTATCGTTCCAAGGATTGAGCAGCAAAAGATTAGGGGGCATTTGGAGAAATCAAGACATCACATAGATCGTGACTATCACAATTCCTCCTATTCTTCACGGGATGAGGACCGCCATAGACATCATTCTTACGCTTGAACTGATCATCAAGACATCTCTCTTTTTCTCCTAAACTTTAACGGAACTGAATATACTGTGGGCTTTTATGTTGACAGAAAATGGCAATGGAGACTAGTTATGGATATGCATGATTAATTTTTTATTAAAGAAAATAAAAAGAAAAAGAAAAAACCAAATGGTTGTTATTGATTGGCTCAAAACTAGTCAGTCTTTTCATTATTATATAAAATTGTAATATATTGCATGCAGTGGCAGATCTGCATTCCATCACGAAGTAATTAAGGGGCCTCATATTCTGGTACTTTAAGGTTTGTTCAGTTTTATTAGTTTCCTATTTAGGAATGCATATCATATTTGGATTAGGATTATTATAGTACAAGTTCATATTAATTTGGTTGTAATTACTAATTTGTCGAAAATTAATAAAGAAATTTTATCTTAACTTCTTCATTGCTAAAGTACCGCCTCTGGATAGTTTCCAATATTTTGATCAGCTTGCGAACATAATATGAAAATTCATTTTCATAGGACATGCAATTATTATAAATATTAATACTTGGTTTAGCAGTAACAAATGAAAGTAGTAACACTCAAGTGAAATTAAACGTGCATTGATTTTTCATTTGGGCTGGCTCAACAAAACAAAAATAAAAAACCAAAAAAAAAAAAAAAAAAAAAAAATTGATAAGAGGAAAATAATTGTATAATTTGTGTTTGAGAGAAATTAGGGGAAGGTGTGAAGGGTTAATTGGCTTAGACTACGAATTTAATGAATAAGTGGGCCTTTTTTCAAGCTGAACTTTTCTTAATTTTGATCGAATAATTTGGCCTAACATAATTTTTATTTTTAAAATTTAAAATTTTATATGTGGTATCATACTATATATATATATATATATATATAAACAGAAAGCCCAATGAGTTTGGAGGCTCTAGGTTGCCGCATTTGCTTACTTGTGCTCAGAGCCTCCCCTGATTATATAAATATATAAATATATTTATATATTTTTTCTTTCTATTGTGAGCCTCTCTAGTAAGATAATATTTTCCTATATACATATGAAAATGAATTTTCATAGGACATGTAATTATTAGAAATAGTAATACCTGTTTTAGTAGTAACACTAGAGTGAAATTAGACGTGCACGTGCATTGATTTTTCATTTGGGTTGGGTTGACAAAAAAGAAACCTGGCAAAATTAAATTAAATTAAATTGATCAGAGGAAAATAATTGTATGTTGTTTGGGGTAATGAAAGAGAGTTTCTAAATAACTCCCAACTTCCGCAACAAAAAAAAAGAAAAAAAAAAGAAAAAAAAAAAGTCCAACTTCTCTTGCGTAGTTATAAAGCAAATCTGCGTTTGGCGAGGGTGTGGCAAGTTAGGGTTAGAAAGTGCACTAGAATTAATTTAAATAAAATATTAGTTTTCCCAACGAGATTGGGAAACGGAAAACTATAAATACAGATGTAGCCTCAGCCTTTTGTAAACACTAGCTACTGTGATTTAGGGTTTCCAAAATTCGCTATAATCTTTTCTCTTTCAAACGATCGAGAGACCCTTCACTTCACTAGCTACTTTCTCTTTCAGACAAGATGAAGTCTTTGAAGGAAGAGCAATGCGAGCGAGAGGCTCCTGTTGACGTTGACGTTGTCGACGATGACGACTTTGGTGGACTCGCTTGCCTTCCCCTCTACTGCCTTGAAAGTGAAACCACGACTTTCGATCCCTCCAACTTGTTCGACGACATCAAACTTGATGAGCGCAACTTGCCAATTCTCCAGAAGCCCAAGAAACCGCCATGTTACGGCAATTTCGGCAAGGGCAAGGATTTGGAGACCCTCCGCTTGATGCTAAGCGCACCACCTCCACCTTCTTGTCAACAAAACCCTACGGGGCCAACAAAATCTGATGCTCATCCTCAACGGCAAGACTGGGATGATGAAGAGAAGTTGGAGAATAGCAAGCGAAAGCTTCACCAAGGCTATCAAGAGTTTCAAAACAAGAGAAAGAGAATTCGACTTCTTGACGTCAAAAACTTGCCTTTGCCGTCTAAGCCACAGCCAGGCCGGGTTTTGAGCGAGAACAAGCCGTCGATCAGTTCGAGGAAGTGCCCAGAGCCTTCTGATTTTTCGGAGAGACAACAAAACCCTAAGGGGCTCTCAAAATCCACTGATCATGATCTTCATCATCGGCAAGATTGGGATGATGAAGAGAAGTTGGAGACTAGTGTTCGAAAGCTTCACCAAGGCTATCAAGAGTTCCAAAACAAGCGAAAGAAAATTCAAGTTATCGACGTCAAGAACTTGCCTTTGCCTTCTAAGCCGGGACGAGGTCGGGTTTTGACAAAGAACAAGTTCCTGACCAGCTCCAGGAAGTGCCGAGCCTTCTGATTTCTTGGAGAACACGTTTCTTATTGTCTAGTTTATTCTTTAATTGATATCAGATGTAAGTACATCGTTTTTGAACCACGAAATGATTATAAGTACATGGTTTTCTAGAACAATTTTAGTTTTTACCCCTTCAAATGTATGTATTTTGGCCTCCATATCGAATGAGTAAAAGGCCCAGGTGCAGGGTTTCGTTTTCTTCCATTTGCTTGGATTTTGCTCTCTGGTTTTTTTTTTCTTTCCTTTTTAAAAAAAAATAATAATCATTTTAACTATTGAGTACATGAAAAAGAAAACAAATATACACATTGCAATTAATAATAATAATAATAATAATAATAATAATAAAGAGTACATATCAATGCGCCAATTCCTTACAAAACTCTGTATGATATTAAACCATCTACAGTCTCAACAACTAATCGATTCATGCGTACAAGCAGCAGCAAGTAAGATCTCGCTTTAGGCCCTATTATAACAAAAATATCACCAAAATCAGGTCTTGGAAATTGAAGTCTATAAATAAATAAATAATTTCACCCATCACAAGCTATATGTCGAAAATTTTGACGGTTAAGAGATTTCGAGTGAGAGTTTTGCATATGCCAAGAAGCAAGCATAGCTGTCAGCAGCCTATATTGAATCAAACAAAAGTTCAGGCAGAGCATAAAGAATCACTTACCCAAACCCAAGGATGAAATTTCATCTTGGTGGAAGAAGCTACTTCCCTTTGCTTTTCCTTTCAGGCCTGAATTAATTTTCTCAACAGCAGCAAGCAGGTCCTTAAAGTCGAGTTCAGTACAAGTACAACACACAAAAACTTTAGAAATCGAAATCGACATGAGCAACTAAATCGACACCACAAAATCAAAATTATGCTCGGATATCATATAGCAATCAGTTCATTTGTTCGTTTGGGTGATAAACTATAAAGCAAACTGTGATATTTTGATGAGTATAGAGTAAAAAACTGAACTTTGTAAGTTTCTAATGCACCATTTTTTGTTTTTGGTTTCTATGAAACCAGAGACAATTTGTCAGCATTATTTTTATGTTACATATAATGCCAATATATCAAAATCATTTAGGCTACACAGTGCATTATGCATATTCATAGACTTCGCATCTTGGTTCATTTGATAGGGAAAAGCCATTTTAACTCTATCAATTAGCTTTAAAGATACAGCATATCCATGTGCAAGGAAATTGAGATTTAGACTAGAAATCCATGAACCATGGTTAAATCTGCTATGCAACATCCTCAAATTATGTTTCTACACCAGAAGATGAACAATGACGAAACTGCACTTTCTTTTCTGGTCTTTTACCTTTGGGCTTGTCAATGTAAAATTTTGGGGTTATCATTCTCAAAGGTCTAGCACAACTAACTTGGAATGTTCATCATTACCTTAGTCAGTATCATAAGCCAAAATTGTACAATTCAATATCAATTCTCAATTAAGCAAAATTGTTCATCTTAGAGCTATCAGAATGGTATAAATTCATTAAGCAACTATCCCTGCTCTCCTTTTGTCTTTTCGTTATTAACTTAATTTAATCCATTCTCAATTGTTAGATAATACTGGCTATAATTTCACCATATGATTCCAAAATACAGGTACAGGAGCAGTTCCCTTTTTCATGATGCAGGTGATCAAAGCATTACATTGCACTAAAGTACGCAAAACTTGCAGACATAAATTCAACTACAAGGAACATGAGGTAGAAATTCCATACCTCCCAAGGTGCTAGGCTTTTCATGTAGGAAGGAAGACTCTCATAATCACCCCTAGATACATTTACAAGAGGCAAAGGAACTTGAGCTAGCTTTGGTTTATCCTCACCTTCCCCTGCATTTATTTCACACAGAATGCCAATACCAATATGGGCAATCATTTGATTTTGTTCACAACTAAAGTGATGAGTCTCTAACAAAATGGACCTATAAAGACGACGTTACATACCAAAATCAGAGAGCAATCCATCTCCAGATGCTCCCGAGGTATCCGTAGAATGATCATATGACAAGGACTTAAACTCATGCAAAGATATATCTGGATCCTCATTTCTAGCATTAGCTGCAAGATAGTAAGCGATAGAAGTGAATTGCATAGCAGCTAGAAAACAAGTAAGAAAATTCCCAGCATTTTTGTGAACAAGAAATTACAGACAAACAAAGACTTAGGGTTTCATTTCAATTTCTCACCTTGAAATGCTAAAGTGGCAAGGGAAGCATCCGAAAGTCCAAGCTTCTTTAAACTCAAAGACTCGTCCAATCTAAGCAAAAGCTCACTAAGAAAACACAAATGCAAATTCAATTTCAATTCCAATTTTCATTTCTTTAATAAGGATACAAAGAGTCGTCTTCTTCATCACTGATACGTGGATCGAATCCGTCCTCTGGATCAACCGGCGTCGTTTCGTGATCGTCGATCTCAATTTCTACGTCAAAATGAGAATTAGTCAACAATTACGAATAAATATAAGGGCGTGTTTTGCCGGCGAGAAAATGGGTACCGGGGTCGTAAGCGGACGAAGGAGAGAGACGACGTTGGAGGTGGAGGAGGCGGGTTTGGTTGTCCTTGTAGACCTCGGTGCAGTGGCCCAGGAGCTCCTCGAAGGAGACGGTTCCGAACGACATCGTTTCGAGGAGGTTGAGCTGGGTGCTGGCGGCGGAGACGCGGCGGTTGAGGGATTGGAGGAAGGTGGACGACGCCGTATCGAGAGGGATTGCCCGGCGGTCGACTGAGGTTTTTAGGGCGTCGCAGCTGCTCTGGAGGTGGTTGCAGAAGGACGCTACGCCCTTGCACAAGCTCCGTATAGATTCCTCCATCTCTCTCTCTCTCTCTCTCTCTCTCTCTCTCAAATTCTAAAGTTCTGAAGAATCTGCTAATTTCTGCTTGTTAATTTCGAATTAAATAGGCGGGAAGCTTATCAAATGTGTACATATGCAATTAACGGAAGAAGATAGAACAACAAGCGCCTGTAGCTCAGTGGATAGAGCGTCTGTTTCCTAAGCAGAAGGTCGTAGGTTCGACCCCTACCTGGCGCGCGAACCTTTTTACAAATTGTTTCAATTTTTTCAAAAAAAAATATACTTTTTGCCTTTTTGGTTTTAGTTCAATTTTTGAATCAATAATAACACTTTTTCTCTCGTGCCCATTTGACTCACTTTCTTTTCTTTGTATTAATGCGATAGTTAGAGAGGAGGATTCGAATACGGGACTTTGAGTACAAGTACCACTTGAGTTACAACCCCCTTGCTATTTATAAGAAAAAAAAGCTTCTAATCTCTATATGTAAAAGCTTAAAAGCTTCATAATTTCATTCAGATAACTTTATTACTGTGTACAAAAACTGTAGGTTTACATTACAGGGCAAAAAGATCTATTCTTCTACTCATTGCTCTCATACATACAAGTCAGGGCGGAGATGTTTCTGAGGTTTTCTTTTCTTTTTGTATACATTTATCAGAAAATTTCTCCTTTTAGAGAACTGGCTGCCCTCTGAATGGCTCTGGCCACTCTCCAAATCTCATGCTGAATTTTGGCCTGCCCTTCTCTCCCACTCATTCTCTTTGCTTGAAATAGTGCATCTGCTACTCCCGGAAAGAAGAATAGTTCACTTTCATGGTCACTAGAAGGCGCATAAACCTACAAGAAGAAGAGGGAAAAATTATGCAATGTGCTTGTATGACCTCTCCTCTGTATGTCAAAGGCCTACTGACGCGTACAAGACAAGACTACTACTACAATTCAATATGTAATCATTGGCCATCAACTTTAGCGAACCAAGGAAAACAGAAGTACTTACAAGATGCTTGAACCAGTGTCTTCCTTCAAGTCCATCTGAATCAAGGAAGCCTCTTTCGGCAAGCATCAGCCGATCATTCAGGGCCCGCTTCTTCAACAATACCAACTCACTTGTACTTTGTACATCTCTCAGCCTCTGCATTTCAAAACAAGAAGGATAAGTTTCACTGAGTTTTCCAAGAAGGGAAAAAAATTCAATGCAGACATGCATCTGCGTAAAAATTGGATTTCTTTCCCAGAAAATGTGAACAAAAATTGCATGAAGATATGCAGTTAAATAAAACAAATCTAAGACTCAATTGCCCATATGCATGGACCAGTTGGTACTATTTGATTGTCATTGAACTGCATTAACTCCCCGTTTATCCGGACGAGGAATAATATACCCACGGGATTGATTCGATTGCTGTGGTTGTCTTAGTTGTTCCAGACCTTATTGTGGAAGTGTTTAAAGCTTTTCAATGCTTCTCTTGGCATGACCTAATTGGAATGCTCGACCAGAAAAAACAAAAAAACAAAAAAAGAACTAATTCGAATGTTTTGAGTTGACATGAATAAAATTTTCAATTATTTTTTAATCAATCTTTGACCATTAATTTTGACTAATTGACAGCAAAGAAAGGCTAGTATAAAAAAACAAAGAGTTTTGCGTAAATTTCTGATTTCACCTGCGCTTCATGTTCAACTTCTTTGGCGGCGTAGGCAAATTCCTGAATTGCTGTTGTGAGGGGATGTAGAGATACACTCCCATCCAACAAGCTGCTCAAAACATCTTTATAATGCTGCCCACAATTCGAAAAGATATAGGGTTAGTATTAAGTTCAAAAGGGCCAACCAGATGCATAAAGGAACCTTAGGCTGCCCATCATTCAACCACAAGCACTTATTTAAAATTAAAAAAATGCTTTTGTCATTTCTATCTTAATTTTATTCATTCTACCTTGCACTCATGGGACCTTAAATTTGTGCCTATTTCAAATATTTGACTTTGCTTTTTTTGAACCAAAAACAAAACTTCGATTTTTAAGAAGAGAAAGCCTTTGTCATAAGTGATTCATCTGACACTCAAATCCAATAAATTACTTTGGAGAAACTGTGCTGTATCTGAAAAACATTTTTTATTTCGGCTGCCCAAACTCAAATTAAAATTATATAGTTTAGCAATTCCCAATTCCACCAAACAAAATCAGTAGGGAAAAATGTTAACAATCCATATTTCACATAAAGAAGAAATTTAAGGGAAAAAAAAGTTCTTAACACTACTCGGAGAAGATTAACACCTTTAATTGATCCACATAAGAGAGGAAATTGAAAGGTAGAATTGAATCGTCAGCCAGGTGAAGGGCTAGAAGTCCCCATATTCCAGCAACTGAGAAAACCACAGGAGAAGTAACATTGAACTTTCAACAATAAAGTAAAAGTCTTCAAATCTATTATAAAAAACCCGATAACAAATACTTTTGTGGACAAATGCGAATAGTATGCTGACCAGCCACATGACGCTGAAACAAAGGATCTCCAAAGTTTACCATCCAGTCATAGGCATCAAAAGCAGTGTGATAGACGGGAAAATCTGAACAAGAATGAAGATTCATCACTACTGCAATATTAACATGAAAACTTAACTTTGCTACTCGACTTACAAGCAAACCTACATGTTCATACAATTTGGTAAGCCCTTAAATTTTGGCCCAAAAATTTGTCAATCCAGAAATATGGAAAATAAGAGGGTGTACCTCTCCCATAGTACATATCAATGGAAGGAACTCCTGCATGTTGCACAAATGGGGCAAAATCAGAATCCAGTGCACTAAGTCTTTGGATCTGCAAATCCATGACAGAACATGCTCACCAAAACAGTCATAGCAGATAATACTTGAAAATATGGAGCAAGAAAGGGAGTTGTGGATGTTCACTTACGTCAATGCTTCTATTTGCAGACATCCACGTTTCATATACAGTGGCACCCTCTGAATCAGGATCTTTAACCTGAAGTCAGATTGAATACAAGTTAAGCACATTTACTCAAATACAGGCGTCAACACCGACTCACATCCATGGAAACTGACCATAATTTGTTTATAATTGTAGGCATTGTCTATGATTATTTAGTTTACCTTCTTTGTAACCTCAACAATAAGATTGTCCAGCTGAGGAGTCGCACGAACAAATAATCCTGGCCCTTGAACTGCACAGTCTACATTAAGGTAGGCAACAGCTTTGGAGCCCAAATTAGCAAGGTTTTGTTCAACCCACTCAGTAGATCCTACCTGAAAGGATAGAACATAATGAATTTAAACTTGAGAGATCAACACATTGAAGTTTTCAGATAGAACAACTATTATTTAGTATTATGTAAATACAAACAAAGAGAGACACTAATCTATTCCATGCATATACAAACAAAACAAGTGCACTACTTGGAGCATCCATAGTGGAGTCTCTAAAATAATTGCAACTGCAGCTCTGTCACCAACCCACGGGTCTCTTTTAAAATAAGGATGGGTGCCCGGATTCAGCCACCTCTCTTCCAAAACACAAACACACAAAAACACTGGTTAACATCAACTGGCAATTATGATTAAGAATCACCTACCATTCCAAACTCTTCCGCGTCCCAACTACAGAGAATAATCGTCCTCCTAGGAATCCAACCCGAACGCATCAAAAGAGCGTATCTACGAGCAATGTCAAGTAAGGCTGCAGTTCCACTATTGGGATCAACAGCCCCATATGTCCATGCATCTCTATGGTTGCCAAGCAGCACATAGCGGTCAGGCTCCTCTGCTCCCCTTATGACAGCAAAAACATTATGAATTGCCACCAACTTTTTCTCCCCCTAAAATTAAGACACATAAAGCACAAGATTAAAAAAAATATACAAGGAGAGAGGGAGTGGGGAAGAATGTTATCAGGGGAACAGGGTTAAATTGTAATAATTTCTCCTTATTTCTTTAGGGTTGTTTGTTTCAGAAACTCTAATAGGTAGATAAACAAATTATTTAAAAGCAAAAGAGGAGAATATAAAAGAATGCAGAAAGACATTTATCGAAAGGAGATATCGATGACATGGTAGATGATGCAACACAAAGCGACAGAACAAAAGGCTTTCTAACAGAGACTAAAAAATAAGCTCTCATAAGCACAATGAAAGAAACATGTGTACTCCTCAGCAAACGAGTATAGAATTTCCACATAAATATGAACATTGTGGCACTCAAAATTCTCAATATTGTACAGTTATGGAAATGTCATCAATCTTGTTTAAACGTTTATTTAATTCAACCAAATTATTTGCCATTTCTTACTCTGCATTCTTCTCTTATGCTGTTGACAGAAGGAAAAAAATAGCATTTGGCTACGCTTCCTTAAATAGGTGAGCTTACTATGAATTGAGAGTCTGGGTGTAACACAAGTTCATATGCGCAAAATATTGGGGAAATGAATAAAACACATGTATAATATACTGCCCAAAAACATTACAACCATTAGGCTACTCTGTCTGATCCACACCCGAAAAAATGCAGGCAATGGACTCAGTCAAGCAATTCTCCTGTGGCAACACCCATAAAATGATATTCCCACAACTAGTATACAAAAGCCATGATTCTAAAAAAATTTACTGCAATTTATAAGGTCAAAATTTTGAAACTTTCCAGTTATCTAATTCTTAGCTAAAAGTTTGCAAATTGAGATACAGACAAACCAAGCAAATATTTCCACATTTGACTAAAATTTCAGTCAAGTCAATAATTCTTCCAAGATTGGTCCCAAATTCTACCAGCTTTTCCACAACACTGTTTCCAGCAAAATCCCAAATTTACAGCTGAAGCTATACCTCCCCAGTGCCCACATCCAATTTTGACTAAAACTTTTACACAACTGCCAGTCTGGATAACAAAACAGAAATAACAGAACACACAAAAGTCAAAGAACACACATTCTAATCAAGGCTTTATATCAGAAAATTTCCAAAACAACTTTTTCCCCCACATTTGACTAAAAACCATGCAACAGAAAAAAATTTGGCACCAACCTGGTAAGTGAAGTTCACCACTGTTGGGCCAGGCCCGACACCCCTGACTCCGGCGGGCAGCGACGCTCGCCATTGATTGGGCACCGGAGAGCGGCCCAGCGTCGCCAGAAGGAGCTCGGCGGCCTTCGCCGACAGCGGCATAGATGGAATTTTTGGGAACCTCTTCAAAACCTCAGGGTCCTCCGGGTCCAGTCTCTCGGCTCCGTCAACCCCGGCCCACCCAGGGGTCAGTGGGTCCCCCGCGCCGCTTCTCACAAGCCCCCTCTCAAAACCCTTTTTAAACCCATCACCCCCCTCGGTATACAATAGCACAGCCAGCGCACCGTTCTGCTCAGCCTTTCCAATCGCTTCGCCTCTGGGCAAGTCACCGCCTCTCTTCACCAGCACTACACACCCGCTAACGTTCACCCCCAGCTCCGCCAGCGCACGATAGTCCTCGTCCGTGCCGTGGTTGGCGAACACCACCTTAGCGTGCGCCGACCCGGAGGGAGAGTAGGCGTGGTAGGCTCCGACGACGCCGTTTTCAGCGGAGAGACCCTGTTCGGTCAACGGGATGTCCACGTGGGAGCCGTTGCTAAAATGCGCGGACAGTGAGGAGCGGAGTGGGTAGGAGAGGAGGGAGTTGTAGTGGGCCGAGCGGGTGTCGAGGCCCAGGCCCATGAAGTGGGCCCTGACGAAGTGGGCGGTGTCGAGGGAGGGCCGGGTTCCTGCGAGGTGAGGGTGCAGGGTGAGGGCGCGGAGGTAGGAGGCGACGGTGGCGTTGGTGGCGTGGGAGAGGAAAATCCGGCGGAATCGGAGGGCAGTTTGGGGATTTGAGGAGGAGGGTGCAGGGTGGACGTAATGCAGAGTATAAAAGCCCAGAATGCAGATGACGAGGAGAGAGAGGAAGGTGCATGCTGCGGAGGGCTTTGAAGTGAAGAGGGTGGTGGGATTGGGCAGACGTTGACCCATTTTGACTTTTACTCCAAGAGAGAGAAATTTTTTTAGTTCAGAGAGTTATGAGTGAGAGAGGAGGAGGGGAAGAGAAACAGAGGGGAGGGTGGTGGTGGTTTTTGAGGAACTTGCTCTGAGTCTGTGCTGCTATTGACAAAAACACTATAAAAGTTCGAGCGTTTCGGTGGGAATTACTTTTTTTCTTTTCTTTTTAATTGTTTTTTTTTTTAATAATTACAAACGATATTAAAAAAGAGAATTCGAAAATGAAATAGAAACTCGGGTGCAGAAATATCAACTACATGTCTTTTGCGAGTTTTTATTTTTATTTTATAGAATTTACTTAAATCAAAACTATTATACCATAACTTCGAGTTTGTGAGCTAATAATTAATATTTTGACCTATAAGCTTCTTGATTATGCATACTTAGTGCCTTTCCATGAACATGTTAATGTTGTGGGGTTGACATAAACATTAAAAAATAAAAGTTTATAAGGTCGAGTGGGGTTATCACAGTGGTTATGGCCTTCCCCTTTCCCCTTGTTTGGCACTCAAGATTGAAATTCCGGAATTTCTTTCCTCTTACACAATTTTAAGAATCTTTTTACAAAAAAAATAAAAGGGTGGATTACTATCATTTATCATCAACAATTTTTGATTCAATGGGGAGTTTTGTCTTATAAATAAAAGTAGAGAATATATTCCAAACTATTTTAATATGTTTTTTAATACAAGCCTGAATTATTTCAAACCTTCGTTGAGGCATACCAATTTTTTATATATTTAAACTAGCCCCTTGTCAATTGGTTTTTTGTTTTGTTTTGTTTATTTTTATTTTTAAACTAAGAAAAGATAAAATGGATAGTTATGTTCCATAAAAATAGGACACATTATCTTATTTGTTTTAATATTTTTAATATGATAAATATAAATTGACAATATTGTCCTCATTTAATTAATCATTTCAATTTTTAATTGTTTGCATTAATTAAAGGCATTTTCTGATATTTTGAATGTTTCACCATTCTTTGCCTTTTATTTTATACAATCACGATATCTTGGATGTAAATTCAACAGTTCATTCATTCACTCTTGCACTCCTTTTAAGAAACTTTTTTGAACCATTAGATTAATATTCAACGATGAGTGAACACAATCTCTTGGACTCCTGTGGTCCAAGAGATTGGGACTAGACTATAAAAAGGAAATGTTTCTTTCACTATGACATCACATTTAAGATTTTTTTATAGTCTAGTCCGTTTTAAGAAATTTTTTTCCGGCCGCTAGTTTAATTTTGATATTACATATTATAATCCAATTGCAGGCCAAATTAATTAACAGAAAACTCAATAGAATATATTACAAAATACCAATCCATTATATATATATGTTATATAAAAGAGAATATATCTTTTGAGGACCTTTCTTAGTGAGAGGGGTGATAATATACTAAAATCCCACACACAATACAGATGTTAGGACTCGAACCTAAGATTTTATCTGAGAGAGCAAGTACACTAATTCTATTACACTAAGAGAAAGAATCTCTCTTAAAGAACGATTTGTTGAAACACGACTTAATTTTTTCTTTAATTTCTTAAATTTTGACATTTGTTGACCAAATTGATTATTTTCGCTAGAGTTTCAATTTTATGCTCCAAATTGCACTATAAAAAAAAGTCAATAAATAAAGACAAAACGAAAAAAACTTTATAATAAAAAAATAAAAAATCAATGGTCCATTTAAAGAAAACAATTTTGATATAAAGCAAAAGTATTATTATGGAAAGTAAACGACAAGTTGACGCAAGCAAAAGAGATGCTTTCAAGGCGATTGAGCTGTGATGTTTGGGCCCACCCAGAACTTTTAATATTTTTAGTTTGGTGGCCCACCAGATTTCTCCCAGAAAAAGCGAAAGCAAAAATGTTAGATTAAAATAAGGGAGGGAATGTGTAGGTATCAGCGGCAGTGCATGATGTCCGTGTTTCGGAATTGGGCCCCAGTAGAATTTAAAAGTAGAGGCTCCATCTCGTTACTATGAGGAGGAATCATGTCACTCCATCTCGTTAAACATAGTAATCTTTGTCATCGAATCCGGGTCAAACTGGTCCGGTTTAGACCGGTTCAAGTAAACCGAATTGGATTGGTATTTTCTTTCTCTTAGTTCCCTTCCCTACATGTCTCATATAAAATGCTTAGACGGGACTTGTCTTTTTTTTTTTTTTTTGGATTAACTACACTTTAGTCCTTAAAGGTTTACGGTCAGTATCGAAATGGGCCCCGAAATTTCAATTTCATACCTAACTTTTCCAAATATGACCAATTCACCCTGTTCGTTAAATTGACCGTTTGGTCAAACGTTAAATGTTGATGTGTCAATTGCGGGACCCTGACAACCCATTCCAACTAGTCCACGTGAATGGCATTTTTGGAAGAAAAAAAATTTTAAAACAAAAAAAACAAAAAAATCCCCAGCTGTAGCAACCCGCTATCTCCATCTCCCATCCACCCTTCGTCGGCCCTCCACAGACCCCCTCCCCCAATCAATCCCAGGCCTTCCCCAACCTAAAACATGATCAAACATCCAAAACAAGATCAACCTCAATCAGAACCAAATATCTCACTAGCCCTATAAGTTGTTGCTCCAAATTCATAATTACCCAAACCTAAAAAAAACCTAATTTGTTCAATCCAATCAAACTGAGCCACAAAAAGAGAGAAATAGACGGAGGAGGATAGGGATGACGAAGAGAGGGGGAGAGGGAGGAAGAGACTGTATTTTACAACAAATCCTAAAAAGGAATTTTATCACAGCTAAACAAACACCACTAGAGAGGCAAACCTAAGAGCAAAAGTCAGACATCCACCAGTTTTTGAAGACCTAACAGTGCATGCACCAAGCTAGATATCAGGAACAACAAACTTCAACTATGCTCATACTCAAGGGCTTCCTCTATAGCAACAACATCCATTATCTCATCAAACTTCTCAGACTTTCTGAGCAGTATTTCAATCTTTGCCTTTTGAATTGGTTGCCCCCCCTGCATCCTCATTCATGTCAATTGTAGAAGTCGTGATCCTCTTCCTCAAATGCCAATCCATTGTTCTTCAGAATATCAGCAATGGTAACAACAGTAGCAATGGCCATTCCAAGGGCAGAGAGCTCCACCTCATTGTTCTACTCCATGTACCTATTGGCAAGATTGACATAGAAGAAGAGGGGCTTTTTGGTATTTGAGACTTGGATGCGATTCTTCTTGTTGTTGTATGATGAGTCCGTGATGTTCACTCCCTTTGTGACACCTTCCATTGTTGCTTCTGCTTCTTTCTTCTTCTTCTTGTTTTGCTCTACAGGGAGAAAAGAAAAATCCTAATCTCCTCGCAGTCCCTCTGAAATTTACCTGAAATTTATAGGTAAGGGTTATTGTTTTTGATTGCTTGTTTGTTTTTTTCGTTTGGTTTAATTTTTTTTTTTGTGTGTGTGGGTAATTCTAAGTTTTTTGGAGGTGGGTTTGGGATTTGTAGTGAGCGAAGTGGTGGTCAGTGTGATTTATTTGATGTTTTTTTCTTTTCTTTTTTCTCTCTGATTTACTGGAAAAATTTACTATGTGGATCTAAAATTGCTGAGAATACTGGTAATTTTGTTCGACTTTTTCTGAAACTTTTTGGTGGAGGTCGACGAAGGGAGGGCCTGTGGAGGTTGACGAAGAGTGGCTAGTGGAGGGAGACATGCTAGGATTTTTTGTTTTTAGTTTTTTGGTTTTGGAAAAAATATATATTTATATATAAAAAAAATATTCTTTCATTTTATTTCTGAAATGCCCTTCACGTGGACTAGTTGGAATAGGTTGTCAAGTTGGAATGGGTTGTCAGGGCCTGTGATGGGTCCCACAGTTGACACAACAACATTTAACGTTTGACCAAACGGTCAATCTAACGGACGGGATGAATTGGTCATATTTGGATACATTGGGTATGAAATTGATGAAATTGAAATCTCGGGGTCCATTTCAATACTGACCCTAAACCTAGGGATTAAAGTGTAGTTAACCCTTTTTTTCTTTTCTTTTTTTGGGGTCAAGGACGGGACTTGTCTTGGTGATCGTTGGATGCATTGAGATCATTGTACCTAATCGGATCATCGTTGGAACCCATATGGTGATCATTTTATTATGGATTAAGAATTTCCTTATTTAGTTGAAATTTTCATATGTGAGATTAAAGAGTGATTAAAACATACTAATTCAAACTCATGTTTGGCTAATTGCCCTTATTATGTGGGAAAGTTGTCACTAACCAGAAAGCTGGGATAACTTATCCCAATCAAATTAAGAACGAGCACATGGTTTGTGTTTAGGATTTGAAGTCCATGTTCAGATTTTTGGATTCGACCTCTAAAATTCAAAGTTTGAATTTGAGGCAGACGTAGGGTACAATTTTTTATACCCAATTTCGGGTTTTGAGGTCTAGGGTTTCGAATCCATGTTCTAAGGTGTTGAGCTAGAGCACAACTTTGGACCTAAGGATTCAAATTTATGGCCTAACTCAGCTTGAGAGTCGACGCTATAGGCTTGAGTTATGAGGTTCATATATGAAGTAGGTTTTGGGTTTGAGTATGGAGTTCGAGGTCTACATCAAACACATATATAGTATTTCCCATTACTAAGATGGAGTGGATGGAATTATGTTGTCATAACACCATGATCCATGTTCCATTCACCCTTGGTATTGGATTACGAATAGTCACAATCACTGATATTTGTAGCCTACTTTTTCAGGGTCGTGGTTGATATGAGAATGGGCAAAAATATTAAACTTCTCAAAAAGTTCTGGCAAAACCAACAATTCCATACCTTTTCCACCTAAACGAAAAGGGAATTGCACCAAGACAGCTAGACTGCATCTTCTAATAATTGGGCTAAAGTGAAGACAAGACATGAGAAACGGGACCACTTTATTTCTCTTTCATGTTCGGGGGTGGATTGAGTCATATAGAGTCAGTTTCACATTAGCTACAAGTCCCCAAGGAAAAAGCCCTTTCATTTCCACCCTAACAATCAAGTGTTGTCTATTGCCCTCTCCCACACGAATATT